TAAGTTATAGATATGTGGGTTAGATGCATATCTTAGCTACTATACATAGAAACTAGATGAGAGTTAAAAATATTTCCAAACTTAATATTTCATTGTATGGATATATGTTGCAGTGCTTCAAGAACCTGGTTGAACCCTTCAGTAGGTAACTTGACCTCTGAATGGATAAGTTATTTTTTAGTTGTCTCTAATAGGTTCTATGTGGTATCCATGTGTGGGCAAGATCGAGGCACATGTGTATAAAGCGACCAACTGAATAAAGTATCAGATCAGAGACTTATTTTCTAACATAATATTATAGGGTTGTGATATTTGTAGGGTAGTTGGTAAGTTAATCTTATAGTTGGTTTAGTAGTGCAGACTAATGTCATGGTAGACCCATACCCAAACTGTTATATCCTAACATAGTATCATACTTCTTTTGTTTAAGTGGTGAAACCTAAGAAATAAATCTAGCTTATGCTAGCTATTGTTTTTTGCCTCAATGTCAAACGTTGATTCTGGTATTATACCAGTCATTGTGATTTAATAGGGTAAAGTCACTTAAACTACTCACCCTGTGTTGTTGGAGATCTTCATAGTTGATATGCGTGACAATATATTAGATGATGTAAAAGTATGTATGTTGATTGATGAATATGTTGTGAATTGTTAAGTTGCTAGGTTGATGATGCCATGTTGTAAGATGAAATGTTTTAATATGTTGATGTTAAATAAGTTTATATATGTTGAATTCTTTTCACTAGCTTACCTTTTGTTTTCCTTGTGGTGAGAACTACGATGATCATACTTGATATAGGAGTAGGACAGGATTAACAGGATGGCTTGTGCAGTTGAAGGCTAGTCACACTAGAGATGGCAAGATTTAGTTTACGGCTACTTGATGTAGTCATGTTTTGTATAGATGTCGATTGACACTTAAGTTTATTTTACTCTTAATTAGTACTATATTTTGTATATAATTGGTGCTTATAGCATATTGAGTTACTGACTGTATTATAAACTTTGTTTATGATGCGTTGTCTAATTTTTCGATAAGTAATAGTTGTTCAATAGCAAATGTGGAGACCTGTCGGATTGTTATAGGAGGAATGGTGAAAGTGATGGTTGCAAGACTATCAAGGAAGATTAGTGGTGTTGTCTGGGAGCATTATTGTTGAAGAACCTTGTCCATGATAGGTGATTGTATTACTTTGTATACAAATTGTCAATTGCATTCTAAAAAAATGGTGTGTACAAAAGTGGTGAAAGGTCTAATATTAGATGAATCCATCTATATAATCAATTTATAATAATTTTTAATAAAAATAAATAAATAAAATCCAAAGAGACAAGAACACAAGACGAACGAGAACATAAATCATATAGTGACTAATCATAATAAAATGAGTTGTATGAAGAATATCTCACATTGTTCAAATAATTACTTAAATCCTCAAGGTCAAACCTCCAATTACGAAGCAATTCAAATTTTATTTACTTATAATAATCATATTAATTAATACACACCATTATAATAACTTACTAATCATAAGAACACAAGACGAACGAGAACATAAATCATATAGTGACTAATCATAATAAAATGAGTTGTATGAAGAATATCTCACATTGTTCAAATAATTACTTAAATCCTCAAGGTCAAACCTCCAATTACGAAGCAATTCAAATTTTATTTACTTATAATAATCATATTAATTAATACACACCATTATAATAACTTACTAATCATAATTGTACTATCTGTATCGTGAAGCCGAGCTCCAACTCGGCATCACAGCACAGGACGACCTCGGACACGCGCTGGGCGACCTCGGCCAAGACGAGGTCCGCTACCTAAATAGGTCATAACTGATCTCAGGCCCAAGGTCCAACAAAACCCTAATCCACACAAAGGTACGTGCATTACTTATACGAGACTCATACACTCACAAATACTAACTTTAGCATCGGAGTCTCTTTTGCAGGTACCACCCCCATCTTGGAGCATCAAGCGTACCCGTGAAAGAGGCTCGCCGATCTTACCCAGCAGATCGTTCCCTATGACCGATCTCCGGTAAGAACAATAATTGTTGAGAAGTATCTGTCCTTGATTCTCAAGGTAATAAATGATAGTTGTACCTATAAAATTGATTTTGATGTCTAAATTAGTGGATATTTAAAATGTTTGGGTGTATTTCTGAGTAAAAATGTATCTTATAAAGGTGATATATATGAGAAAAATTTATTGTTAAAGATTCAATCATTTAAATACCTTTTTATTGTTATATCGTTTGAATGTTACTTTCTCTAAGATAACTCCTCTTATAACATAAGTATTTATACACCTTCTCTCTCTCTCTCTCTCTCTCTCTCTCTCTCACACACACACACACACACACACACACACACACACACACACATATATATATATATATATCATCTCTATACATATTTTCATTCTAGTTTAGTATGCTTTACATAAAATAAAATTACAACTATAATTAAAAATATAATAAAATATATAAATAATTAATATTTTATGCATAAAGCAATAATCTAAATGAAATTGATATTATTTTATATAACTAAAAGCAAAAATTTTAAATAATGCGTTTACAAATAATAACTAACATTTTAAAATGAATTAAAAAAAACACAAATAACACATATACTTTGTTAAAAGAAGTAAAAATAGTTAAATAATCTATCAATATTAGCTTAAAATAAATAAACAAGATGTGATTAGGAACATCCCGCTAAAACTATAGCTATATTTAATAAAAAAAATTATAATAAATACTTTCTCCTCTTACCTTAATAATTTGTGAGACAATAAAAATAGGCATTATAAGTATATTAGAACCTTGAAGATAGTTTATTACTAAGACATTCAAATTTTACTTATTTTTCTCATGTAACTCTTTCACTCACAAGAAGTAACTTTCTCTTATCTGATTTTAGGCAACCTTTAAAAGTCTATTTATAGATGAGTTGCATGACTGTTCATAGGTTAAATTTAATGTCAATTATTCTTATTTCATTCATTTGTAAACACAGATTCCTTTTTAGCGAAACTTTTATTCTGATGAGATCTCCCATTCTTTTGGTTTTTCTTCTCCCTTATCCCTATAATTAATGAAATTTGTATTCTTTTTCCATCTTTCATGTGTCATGTGTGTATATATATAATTCTACAGAAGTTTATGAATTTATATAATAAAATTAATTAATTAGGGTTAATATTCTAATTAATCATTAAATTATGAATCTTTATGATTAAATTAATATATTATTATTTTACACCAAGATTAAAAACTAAATTGTTACTTCTTTATTTACTTTACTCACTAAAATATTTAAATTTATAATTTTAAAAAATGCTAAAATAATATTTATAAGTGAAAAAAAAATACTTATATTTATATATATTTAGAATGTTACAAGTTTTCATAAATAAATAAAAAATAAATAAACAAAAAAAAAAGGTGAACCCCAAAAATTTTGGCATAATTATATTTACTTATAATGATCATAAATAACATATACAAACGAAAAAAACTCGAGATTTGACCAACTCAGTTGAGTATCGAGGAGTTGATCTTTGGCCAATAGGTTAATTCAACACCGATCACAGAGGGTACAACAAGTAATATTTTAATGGCCAAATTGATAACTTTATTTTTTGTAACAAAATTGTCTATATATTTTTATTAAATAATCTCATGTCAGTTAATAATGAAATACATCAATAAATAATTTACATCAATAATACAGTGATAAAAAAGTTATAAATAATATAAATAATAAAACTATAATATGAAAAAACATGTATTGTTAGTAAATAAGTTAAAAATACTATATTACTAATTAATTAAAAAAAATTGTCGTTATAAAAATTGATATAAACTTGCTCTCTCTATACATATCAACTTGTATTTAAATAATAATATAAAATTAAACTTAATCATGTATGTATTGTAAAAAAAACAAATTCTTAAATATTATCTATTCAAATTATTAATTTTAAAAAGATAATAATTACAGGAAAATGTTAAGATAAATAAGATATGCACAAAAAGTTAATACCTGTTAAACTCAAATAATAATAGTAAAGATAAAAATAGTAGCAATACTATCACTGATAAACAAAAGCCTAATTTATACTCTTGGTTTTTTATACGATAAAATGCTTATTTTTATCTTTTACTTTTTATATTTATTCATTTAGATCCTTTTAAAATAATAATAATATCAAATTTCACAACACGATTTTGAATTAATTTTTTAATTATTTAAGATGTGAAATTTATTATATTATATTTAATTATATAAAAATTATGAAATTTAATTGCATTCAAACCTAAAAGATATTATAAACATATTAAAAATCGTGTGAAAAATACATTTCATGAATAATTATAAAATAATATAAAATAATATTTTTTAATTTTTTAAACTTATTTTTACTTTATGTTTGAATTCTAATTAAGTTCAAAGGTAAATATAATAAGACATGTTATAAGTTTTGAATCAATAAAAAAAATTCAAAAATCATATCTAAAGATTTAAAATAATCATTATTTTAAAAGAACTAAACTAATTTAAATTTAAGAAATAAAGAATTATAATTTTTTTAAAATAAATATAATAAATAAGATAAATAATCAAAAATATAACTTAATCTAAATAAAATAAATGTAATAGTAATTAGAGAAAAGGTAATAATTTTTCCTATTGTATACTTTAGTAGATTTAATAATAATAATATATTAGCAATGTAATTTTTACATCAACAATCAATAAAAAAAATTATCATTAATATAATTTGTAAAATAATTTTTATAAGAATTCATAAACTAATTATCATATATTTAGAATATTTCTTTAATTATATGACAGTTATTTTACTTGCTCTTACAATATTCATTTAAATTAATATTTTATATAAAAATAATAATAATAAACGTTGAACCGTTACTCATAACTGACGCAGTACAAAATATTCCCATATTCGAATAAAGATTAAAAAAAAAACTAATTGTATTAAAATTTGAACCAATTCGAGTGTGAAGGGCTACGCTAAGTTGGCATGTTGAGTTGGGAAGTTTCCTAAATTCAGTGGAAATTAGCAGTTTACGGAAAAGATATAAAATAATAAATCAAATATTTATTTATGTATATATTATTTTCATTTTTGCCATTTGCATTCAGAGCTATTGGTTAACTAAACTCAGCTGACGAGTTCCAAGCCAAACAAAACCCCGGCATGTTTGTGGGGCCCATCCTTCACGAAATAAACATCCCTCATCTTCTGAAACGCATGCCACGTCAGCAGACTATCCGACCCGGCCTGATGGCACTTTCCGACGGCCCGGTCCACATTGAGGGTTCGGGCGAGCCGGTCCAAACCACCATAGAGCGTGTCGCAGAAGCGCATCATGTGCTTAATGTCATAAACGTTATTCCCGAAAAACGCTCTCAAAATCTTCAGAAATTCCTCAAGCCCATGGGGCAGACTCCGTCGGGTCAGGATCTTAACCAAGTACCCGAAATCATACGCGCTGTGAAACGTCACCCAGCTCACCGCCTCGTTGCACACAAGCCCCGACGACATCATCAGCTCCGCGAACCGCTGTGACTCCACGCCTTCCGCCGCGTTGCGCCGGAAGTCGATCCCCTGCCGGCGGAGGAGGTCCACGGAGTCCGGCGCGTGGGCGTCGCGCTCTGCGTCGAAATCGCGGAAGTTGAACTCCCAAATGAAGCGGTTCCCGGCGGCGCCGAGGCGGGGGAGGTTGCCGCGAGCGTCGGAGAGCGTGAGCCCGACCTGGATTAGGTTTAACGCGTCGACGTTGGATTTGAGGAGGCGGTAGTGGTCAGAAGGCTGGAGGCGGCGGCTGAGGTAGGGTTTTGCGGGGTCGAGCAGCTGAGGGCGGAAAATGACGCCGGGAAATTCCGTATCCATGGAAATGAAATTGTAATCATCAATGACTTGACGAATTAGGTCAAATTCGGATTCGAGGTTGGAGGCCCAAACCTGGCGGACGAGGATTGGGGTTGAATTAGGGTTTTGATTCTGATGAGCGAGGGCCATGATTTGGAATGGGTTGTGCAACAGCGCGAGGAAGAGGAGAAGGAGGATCGAAGCGAGGGATTGTTCAGTTTGCGGTGAAATCATGAAGGGAAGAAGTTTTATATGGTGGGGGAGGTTGCTTGGAAAGTGGGGGAAAGTGAAGGTGGTGGGAATGGAGAAAGACAGAGAGAGTGTGTGTGCGCGTGATGGGAAGCGGTGGGCGGGTAAGTTCAGTGTAAGTGGTGGAAGTGGGCTTTATATAATTTTATTATTTTAAGGATGCTCTCTACTCTCTACATAACTATTGTCCAAGTGTCCAAGTTCAACGCGTCTGCAACCAAACTTTGACTCATTCAAGTAACAACGTAGGCTATAGCTATACCTGAGCTGGGCAACCCAATGTTTTATAATCACATTACTCACTGCTCCATATCCTAATCCCTCTCTTTTTGTCTCCCTAAATTAATTCATTTAATTTACTCTTTTATTTATTTATCCACATATATATAAATATAATATTATTATTTTTCTTTGATTTAAACTAATTATGTTGTACTTTTTTTACATGTTTCATTTTTTTTATTCTGTCACTTGAAAAAAATTCAATAATTATTACATTTATATATTATAAATTAGATAATTGAATCTTATAAATGTTTTGTAACACTTTTAAATCAACCAACATCTAATTTAGAGACTTAAATTTTTAGTTCAGGGATCTAATTAAAAAATAATTTAGGGATTTATTTTAAAAAAATTGCAATATTTTGCTGATCAATAAAAAATATTATTTATATGATTTTTAAGGTAAATATTAAAAAATTGACAAATTTATCATAATTGAATGACATTGTAAATCTATTTAACACCATCATGCATAACCTAATTTCCACAATAAATTTTTACTTTATAAGATTAAAAATTATAATTAATAAATAATGTTGAATATATAAATTATTATTTCATTATAGTTAATATATGGATTCTTTAAGCATCTTGATAGTTGATAGGAATTCAATGTCCTAGTCCCACATATAAAATATACATTTTTTTGAAAAGGTAAAATTTTAATGAGTAAGTAGAGATTCTTTTAATTACAAGTTGTGATTAAAAGAATTTACAATATTATCAATACAGGTTAAAACACTTGCAGCATAAAATCAAAGTATAATGAGTAATAAAAAAGAAAGAACCCCACCATAATTATCTATACATCTTGAAAAAAATTAATATTTATCTATTGATGGAAGATATCTTTAATGCAAAAAAAAAAAAAAAATACTAACTTTTTTTTATATATAAAAAAAACTTTAGTTACACTTTTGGTCATCATAATTTAACATGTAATAATTTTAGTTCCTATAATTTTAATTACTCAACTTTAATTAAGTCATGGACAATTTTAGTCTCCAGGGAGCCTAGCTTGCTCAACAATTATTAGATGGTTGTTTTATCCTTGTAATCTCTGTACTACATTTTTAATAATGATTAATTGACGTATTTGAGAATGTACATTAGATATATGAGGTTATACGAGGAATATGTGATATGTGAATTGAGATCATGTATATGTTATTACATGGAGTCTATTTGGCATGCATCATTCACATAAAAGTATTTTTAAGGGTACAATATGAAATACACCGCTAAGAAAGACTCCTTTATGTAAAAGCTTGAGGATCAGTTCTTGGGAATAACTTGGTTTGAAATTCCCAATCTCGTCCATTATGTGCATGAAATGTATCTTGCGTAACTGAATTATCCCGACAAACCCTAGTAATATATCCTTCTAATGAAAGTGTGAAGGGTTGTGATTCGATATGTATCCATAGACTACTCTATATATATTGTTAGTGATAATGCACAAGTATAATATTTTTTACTGATGTCGCATGCATAATAACATATAGTTCATGTCCATTACATATACATTATAATGTTAATTATTGTTATTTATCATGCCATGAATGAACTAAGCATGATAATGATATTATTTATGTATGTTATGCCTTATCGCATGCCTTGTTGTATGTCTTGTTTGTATTTGACTATTTGATTTGCACTCTTATACCATAGGTGAGAATGAGATATTTTTTACTCCCATTTTTTTATGTTTTTTTTTTATTGTTTTCCTTTTAGTCCTAGAGCTGGTTCAACGTGACTAGGTTATCTCACTAACTTATGTTAACTGTGATGTCAATTAAATAGCTCACTTCCTTGCTAATAGTAGTGCGGGACAAGATTAATTTGATTGTATGGCATCATCCCTTCCTTCCCCTCTGAATTGTTATTTTCTAGGACGACGTGCGTTAATTTCTTATTTGTTTATTTTCCAAGCAATAAAAAAAAACTTATTCATTATTCTTAAACTATACAAATGTTTTTTTATATATATAAAGACGAAAATGATATATCAAATATTTGAAAGATCAAAAATTATTTACATATACAAATGATTTGACTATTGTCTTAATTAAATATCAAAATTTAATTTCTGATTTAGACACGAGGTTACGTTTATAAATATTATTTATCTTTAAAACAACCTGAATTGTTAGATGAAATTATACATCCTAATTATATAAAAGATGTTTAAAATGAATTGAGCATATTGATATTGCTGGAAAAAAAATAATTATGAGCCACTCAAATGTTATTAACCAAATATAAATTAAGACAAGCAAAATAGTTTTGTAAAAAATGTATATGTTAATTTGTATTAATTAATTAAGACAAGCAAAATAGTTTTGTAACAAAAAAATATATGTTAATTTGTATTAATTAATGTGTTTTTAATAAGGAGGCAAACTTTCTTACAATTCCGCTCTTATAAGAATAAAGTGGTACCTTTATGTTTAAGGCAATGATATATTAAACTATGGTCATTTCTCAAAGATCACAAGTCATTTACCGGTGAAAACATGTTTTATTAAAGAATAAATTAATAAATTACATAATATAAAATATAATATTTTTGTTATCAATATTTATATCTATATCTATATATATACAGGGACGTATCTATGTAGAAGAAAGTGAGGGCACATGCTCCCACTACCATTTTACACATATTTTTTTATTCAAAAAAATAATATATTTTTAAAAATAAAAGTTATATTTTAATAAAATAAATAAATAAATTTAAATTATC